TTTATTTATTTATTTATTTTCCTCAACACCCAGAGGAAAAATGTTCCCTTTTGTTTTATTAATGATGTGCTTATGAAATCGAGCGTTTGATGGTATGCACTTGGAGCAGGCAGAAGGCGAGCTTCCCCACGTCGCGCTGGCAGCGTGCTTCCTTTCTGATCTGTAGCACACTAGTTTATTCCAGATGTGGGCTCGCTCTGAACAGAGGCAGCCTGATGCACAATGGCCTCATGGTGGAGAAGGATGGCCTGCGGGGACCCACTTGAAGCTGCCAGCCGAATTCTCTATTCTCGCTTGCGGTCTCTTACATAAGATGACCCATTTTTTTTTTCGCTTGCCATTAATCCAAGTAGAATATTCATACTGTCTTTAAAAACATTTTAATTATTTGTAGCTTAGGCACTTTGAAGTTGATCAGCTGCAAGTGGAAAAATCTGGTCCGAAGGGCTGCCTGCTCGAAAGAGCCAAGTTTGAAGGAAAGTTGAGTCACCTAACAATGATGTAACTGCAGAGAACAAAAATCACCCATTAGCCCAGCTGCAGCCTGACTTGACCACTTGTGTTTCTCCTTGCTATAAGCATTCACAGAAGGTGAGGGAAGTGGAAAAAAGTGTAGGTCTGGAAGGGACATTAAGAGATGTCCTCCTTTGGAGGACAACTGTTGGTCCATCATGTCCATCGTGTCCCTGCATTGAGGGGGGATCCACAGTCCCTTTCAGTAGGCAGGTCTGCGTCCGGTCTGCGTCTACACGTAAAGTCCATGGGGTGGATCTGAGCAGAGTTAACATTTGCTCCCAGGAAATGGGGAACAAGTCTCTAAATGGAAGCTTTGGATTCTTACTCCTTCGACGCTCTCAAAGCAAGCATGGATGTCTTTCTGAGTGTCCATCTTTGCCAAATCTCAGGTGAATTGCATGAAATGTTCTGGATTGTCATATACACGTAGTCAGCTCATGTTATCTAGTCAGCCCTTTGCACACTTAGGTTCTCGGGTGCTGGACTTCGTTACTGTGAACTGCCTTTGGCTAAGGGATGCAGTTTGGTCGCCTTATTCTTAAGAGTGGCCTGAGCAGGGTATCACCTAGTCCCTGGCTGCGACAGGAGGTGGTAGTGCCTCTCTCTTTCTCTCTGTAGTTACTGAGGATGGCCAGCGTTTGAGACACCTGGCTGTACCAGCATCAGCACATCTCTCTGCTTTAGGCATGAAATGCTTTTTGCACCAAGAGCTCTGGGTGCCTGTGAGCAAATTATTGTGTCACTTGTGAACAAAGCTGGGGGGATTATTCTTGAGTCATTTATAAATGAAGCTATGAGAATTTATTCTGAGAGGATGAAAGAGTTCAGATGTTAATAGGAATACGAAACTGGCAGTGGCCAGGCAGCAGCCAGAACTGTGCAGCTGACCAGAGGAGACCGGTCAGCAGTTAAGCTTGTCCTCCTCTGCACAGGGGTTATGCGGGCTCCAAGGACAGTGGCATCAGACCTGCAAACTGCCAAATCTAGCTATGCTTGGAGTTTCCCTTGAGTATTGTGACTCTCTGGAGAAGACTGAATACACCAGAATCCTAGCTTTCATTTAAAGACTAAGTGAGCTTGTAGTTTTTTTGTTTATGAAGGAAAGCTTGTAAATGTGATCCTTTAATTTTGATATTTTTTTTAAAAGACATGTATTGCTCTGCTCTTTTTTTTTTTCTTTTCTTTTTTAAAGCATTTAGACTTTGTGTTGTTGGACCTGGGAATCTCCAATAACTTAAGAAAATTGGTTTGAAGTCAAATGTAAATGCATTTACAAATCCTTGCAGTTGGCACAGAGCTTTGCTATTAAGCTTTCCTGTGATGGAGTCATATAAGATGCACATTCAAAGCAGCAGCATTTCTTAGCTGGCTATGAAGTATCCCGGGCTGCTTTGTGCAAAAGAGATAGCAACTTCACAGGGAGGGGAAGGGGATTCTGCCGAACACCCCCTTTCACCAAGAGGCTTCAAGCAAAGCCTAGCAATCTGCTTTTTAATACTTAGCTTTTAAAATCTTGGAGTGACATACCTTGGAGGTACATGTGTATTGGTGGGGGGCGTTTGCTTTGTAGCATGTGGTTAAATGTAGAGCTATGAATGTTTTATGAAGAAGAGGGAAAGAACAGCGAGAGGCTCTGATTTCCAGTCGACGCCGAATTGTTTATTCCCAGTGAAATGCATGCAGCTGACCAGGGGTGGCTCGAGGGACAGCCTTTTCTTACATGGGAGATGGTGACGGTGTCATCTGAAAATGAGTGAAAGAAATAAGTGTTTGGGTATGTGCCAAATGGTTTTGTTGTCTTTATCGGGGCTGTGTTCTGCCATCCGTGTTCGGGCTGAGTAATGCTTTACTTTGCTTTTGATTTCAGTGGAAGTTCAAGGGAAATAAGATGGCACTTGCCATCCAAGAGCAGTGGAGTCTTGCCATTTGCTGCTATTAAGTGTTTTGCTGTGTAAACAAATATTTGAGAGTGGGCCAGTTAAGAATAAATTTGGGTTTGTTTGTTGGTTTTGGGGTTTTTTTTTAAACAATATGTGTGATAGTGAGGAGCGCTGAGGAATGCAAGCTAGGTGCTGCACATCGTGGGCTTTTGCATAACTCACATTCCAAAATGCTTTTGCAAATCATTAAATGCAATTTTATGACTGCGTTGTTAGACGTTATTGGAGAGTCTGCTTCTGAATTGGATTTAACAACGGGACACTCGGAGTGGCATCTTGCGAGGAGAATAGATAGCTGGTCATTGTTTCAGCTTGGGCTCGGTTGGAGGAGGCAGAGGGATTGTATTTCTCTGTTATACTGTTTTCATTATGAATGCAAGGTACTTTATAGCAATAAAACCTCTCTGGAGTATTTTCATGCCATAGCTCAGTTCTGGTTTTTAAGTAGATAAATATAGTTGACTCTTGCCCCTGCATTTAACACGGTGTCTCATGTATCACTCTAATTAATCTCAAAGTATTCTCTGTCCTGACACGTCCTGTTGTTCGGATCCCAGTTAAACCTGTTGGGATATTGCCCATGTGCATGACTTTCAAGTTAACAAATTACCCACAGGTGTGTATGTTTTCAGGCTCAAACTTTTGGGTTACCTCTTAAGACACCTGGTTTGTTTTTCCTGTTTCTCCTACCTGTGGTCTAGGGGCTGTATAACAGTATGACTGTTTTTCACTTTGTTCTTAAGATACTGGTGTAGATACTGACCCCTTTGTTCCCGTATCTGAAAAACTCATCTTACATTGCATTTAAAAGTTTCAGCATAGGGCCCCAGTGAACAGGTAAAAGAAGGACATTTTCTTCACTTAATAAAGGCTCTGATAAACAACGTTGGCCAAACAACTGCAGGTTGCTGCCACAGCCCTTGGGTTTGCCGATATATTTAGCAGTTCCCCTTCTCAGAAACAAGCAGCGATTCGTACATGCTCTTCACAGTTTGGCATGAAATTTTAATCATCTTTGCTACTTGGGTGTTTGCGTACTGCCAGAACGTTGCTTGTGTGCAGAACAGACCCAGGCAGAAATAGCTGACCTGGTGCCCGGTGACTACAACACATGGCCTAAAAATTGCCTCCGAATTGCGCATTTTGCTGTCTTGCAAGCTGGAAAACTTCCTGGGGTTCCTCATAATTCTGTTATCCTGGTTCTTCCACTCTTTGAGAGAGTCCTGGCAATCACCTTACGTGCCCAGCTTGCCTGCTTGCTTCTTTTTCCCTTTCCTTTTATGCTTCACTGGTATTTGCCACGCTTGTGTTTCCTTGTGCCCAGTCCTGCCAATAGGGCTTATAGGAACTAGTTTTTGTTTTGCATTTTGTATTGCTCTGGAGTTTGTAAAGCAGTCTTTGGATAAATATTTATAATCATTAAAAAATTTTTTTTTAAAAAAAAGGTGTCCTAAGCATCGCTTATTATCTTGCTTATACTGAAAAGTTATTCTCTGTGGTGGGTAGATTTATTATTTGTAGTCTGTACAACAGCTGTCCAATAAGAAATAATTGATTGGCAGCTGATAATTCGAGGCTGGTATTTTCTCTGCAATGTCTCAAACCCTGCAAAACTCTCCGGAGAGGGAAACACTGCCGTGTGATACCATTCTGGTCCCTGCTGCAATAGCAGCTGCACTACCCAGTGTTCAGGGTCCTCCTTGAACCGTGTCTTGCTCCTCTGCAGCCCTGCACAGCTCATCCTTGAGTTTTGGTGAAGGTGTTCGAGGCTGCTGGTTGCTTCGGGGAAGGATCAGGGTGTTGAGAGCAGGACCTCTGCGTGGCTCGGAAAAGCTGCAAAGAGCCCTCCAAGGAAACCTCTACCTGCTGACCCTGCTCTGTGCTGCCTCCTCCTTTCTGCCTCCTTCGCTTGGACCACAGCTAACACAGCAAAGCTCAGCAAAAACACCCGTCTAGCCTGAGCTATACAGATGTGCGGTGATGGGCAGCAAGGTGCTAAATAGCCCCCTTCCGTACCCTCCCAGCCCTCTCTCAGTGTCCAAATCCAAATTCAAGGACTCTCTGCACGTTTTCTCTCAGCGAGAAGGTTGCCGCATATGGAAGATGCATATCCTGAAGGGGACGGATGGGCTGGGAATCCAGATAACAGGAGGCAGAGGGTCGAAGCGGTCCCCTCACAGCATTATCATCACCCATGTGGAGGAAGGCGGCTCCGCACACAGGTGAGGTGACGGTGGTGCCTTTGCAGGAGTGGGGGTGATGGAACATCCGTGGCCATCACTGTTAGCCAGAGTCACAAGACAGGCCTGGGGGTTTCACCCTCCCATTGTGTGAGGGGGACAAGATGATGTTTTTGGCTTAAAGACTCATTTTTGTGACTGGTCACAGAAGCTTCTTCTGGCATATTTAGTCCAAACTATGGACAGATCAAACACTTGGTTGGTGATGGAGCCTGATGGTGTGTGGGGCTCTTTCCCCAAGTCTCTTTTTGGAAGACAGTCCTTTCCCATGGGATCAGCAGTGAGTGAGTGTGGGTCGTGCAACACTGCCAGCCCTGGCCCTGCTGCTTGACCGGTAAATGCAGCTCACTGCTGCTCCATGATCATCTCCTTTGGGGCATGGAGAAGGTTTGAGGGCTCTCACCCCTGCAAAGAGGGTAAAATGGCTCTGGTTATAGCAATGATTTGCTGGGGGCACCTTTCTGAGCCACTTTTTTTGGCAAATAACTGCACCAATCGATGCAGGCTTAGTGTCAGCCAGATCACGTGTTGTCCATGCCTTCATGTCCCATAACGTGCCACCAAAGCCTGGCACTGGGGAAGGACCGCCCTGCAGCTCCATATTCCCGCTCTGTTTCTGCAGGGATGGCAGGCTGACGGCGGGCGACGAGCTCCTCATGATCAACGGGCAGTCGCTGGTTGGGCTGTCCCACCAGGACGCTGTGGCCCTCCTTCGCTCGGCCGCTGGCCTGGTGCAGCTGGTAGTCGCTAGCAAGGTACGGTGCTCTCCTTGGCGGTCTCCTGAATGTACATTCACAGGAGTTTGTGGAAGTGCTGCGTGGAAAGGGCATATTTTTGATAGGGAATCACATGTGCACATTTGGTCCCCTAAATTTAATGCACAGCTATGTGAAATATATCAGTAGCTGCCGTAAATCTGTGGCAAATCATCAGGGTATAGAGCAACTTAGTGATTTGCTTGTATTGTCACTGTCGTTCAGTGTGCAAATGAGTCTGTATTGATTCGTGCAGAAGTTACTTAAGGTTTGGCCAAAACCATTTTCTTAAAATACATGCTAAATAAAGCAGGCTGTTCTCGGCCTTTTCTGCTTCCTGCCCACGTAACCTGTAGCTCTCATCTCTTGTCCTATCTGTGTGCCTGAGGTCTCTTGATGATGATCTCCTGACTTGAGTTCCTTATTTTGTCCTTGTTAATAGCGTGGAGTGGAGCTCTTGCAGATAAAGGAGCATGAAATTTCAGGGAAATGAGAGTGGAACTCATTTATCAGTCAGGCTCTTCGTTCTGCTTTCATTGCAGGAGATAGAGGGGGTATTACACAGTATTTTTTCCTTTGTTTAAGAAAATCCTGCCCACCCCCGGTTGCTCCCCTCCCCAGACCACAGCCTGCTGCTCCCCGACTTGGGTGGATGCAGGCGTTTGGTGGGTGGCCGACCGGCTCCCAAAAGCAGTCGGGGTCTCAAAGAAGGACCTCCCTGCCCACTTGTCTTTGGGGCAGTAGCAGGAACTTCTTGGGCCAAAGGGACCGCTCGTAAACCCGCATTTCCAGGTGGAGCATGCTGTGTCAGGAGGCCACTGTATCAGTATTTTCAAAATTCTTCTTAGCTTCATCTTCAGGTTGCCTTAGCCAACCTGATGCAGATTTGTGCAGGTTTAATGCCTGGATGCTCTTATGGCTTTCCGGGATGCTTTATGCTCATGTTTTTCAAGAAGAGACTCTATCCCACCGTATTCAAAGTGAAGAGCCTATAATTTCTCTAATGGCTTAGTTAGACAGTGAAGTTCATTGAAGACCTTCTGTAGACACACAGCCTGGTATTAAACCCACCAGTGTTTATTCTGGAAACAACAGGCTTTGACCCTGAAGTAGGTACATTTTGTATTTCCTTTAGACAATTGGACTCTATGCCAAACCGCAAGACTGCATAAATTTCTCCCCAAAATTATTTGCTTGTCCATGTGATGACTGCATCAAAATAATCATCATGATTAAGCTTACAGCATTAAACTTCACATTCCTGATCGGGCTGTGAATCTGTTTGGCCCACGCGCTGTGCGCTTGGACAGTTTTCATGTCCCTGGGAGGAGGACTTGGAACAGCAAGTGGTGTGGAATCCATCCCGTGCCGTGTTTCAGGCAGTCTCAGAAAAGGTGTAAATAGGTGAAGTGTTCCCCAGCAGCTCCCTCTGGGCGTTATTTGTTGGTGTGGGAAAGCAGCCTTGCAACTTGGCCTGGTGAGCGCTCTTGAACACAGGATTTGTTCTGAAATCACAAAAATGAGAGTCTGTCTGGCCACAGCTTTCCACTGGTGCACATGTTTGCACCCAGGAAAGGTGCCAGAGGCCGGAAACAGATCCTGAAGCATCAGGACTGAGCTGGTAGAGGATCGGTGGGTCAGTTTTCATTTTGTTCTCCTAGGCAGGGTGTATTATCCTTATGCGTGTAGATAGGTAAATGTGTGAAGGGGACATCCGCACGGAGGGAGCAGGAGCACAGAGTGTGGTTTGGGATGCAGTGAGATGAGTAATGAGGTCTGTAAACTCTTGAGTCTGTTTGCAGTGACATTTAATAAACCCAAAGTGGGGAGAAGCAGGCTGCTGGTGAAGTGTTTATTTTAAATTCTCCTGTATGAAATCTGAATGTTTTAGACATGTATTGGCCTGTGTTTACTATATGTGCACTTTGAAACCAGGTCTGCTTTTTGTAACTGGGCCATTAAGGTTTGAGCACATGGAAGCATATAACGAGGGGAGGATGAGCAGGGAGCTCTCACTGGGCAGGTGAAACGGAGCAGTTTCACCGTGACTTTGGTGGTTTTCTGCATGCGATGTAACATGTTTTGTTGTCTCTTGGGTAGGAATCTGCTGAAGGGGATTTTCTGAAGTACCCATCTACCAGTTTGCCAGACTTGCTTAGCACTTGCTCAGTCCAACACTCTGTCTCTTGCACTGACAATAAGGAAAACGAAGAGCCAGAAGAAGACGACGTGAAAGGAGTGAATGTGTCTCCTGAAAAACTGGTCACTGTAAGTGTGGCTTTGGTGTGACGTTTTTGCTCTCTCCCTTGACGCCTCTTTGCATCTGTCACATTCTCCTTCAGCCTGACACAGAGCAGGTCCAACCCAGGGCAGTCCAACCCAGCCCTTCTTTGCATGGGACGTGGGTGACAAGCTGAAACGGGGATGGCATCTACCACAGCATCTACCATCTCTGCAGCAAAGCAGAGGCACAGGCAGCAGGAGCGCTCGTGTCCTCCAGGCTGTGTGGCAATCATGGTTTTGTTTTTCTCTCTGCTGTTGGATTGTTTTCCACCCACTTCCACTGCTTTTGTTGGATCTGATGCAAAATCTCTCGCAGTGCTTACGCAGTAACACCCTCTTCTTTCCCCTCTTTTCTAACTAAACTTCTTTAACAGTTTATAGTCCAAGTCTTCAAGCTTTTATTTACTCTGTTGATGCCAACAAACACTTTTGGGGGTAGGGATGTGAATTTCTGGCTGTGAACTGTAACTGAAGTTTTGCTGAATAAATGCTGCCAGTTGATAATCTCACTTGTATTCCCTTCGGGGCTGCACTAGTCAGAGATTAAGTGGATTATTGTTATTTATTTGTAATGTAGCAGCTCTCTGAAACTTCATCAGTGTTCCAGGCCTCTGTTGTATTATACAGACAAAGAATAAAATTATATTTGCTACTCTAAAGATCTTGCAGGCTGGTTTTCCAGCAAGTGAAAGCAGGTGGATTCACTTGAAGCTTTTATCTTTTTTTTTTTTTATTATTTTATCTCTTCTTGTCTTTTCTTCTCCCTCTTTTCTGCAGCAATTATAATAAATCTCTTAAACCTTTGGGCGGCTCAGACGTGATATTGGTTTGGTGATCTATTCTGATTTTGCGTTCTTATACAAAGAATTGTATTCTTTTCTGAACAAAAGACTGCTCCCCAGGACAAGTCTTGCGCTATAGTCTGGCTCATGCTGGTGTTCACTTCATACCTGCCTGTTGGCTCTGACTTTCTTTGAGTCTGTGCTTATAACAGTCCTCACTTTCACACATCTCTTTACTGGGACAACTTTTGCTATTTCTGCAGTGTCTTCTCTTCTATGTGCCTTTTTGGGGGGAGGAAGGGAAAAACAAATAAATCAGAGATGCTTAGCACGCTGCTGATGGTGTAGTGTTTGTGTGCTAACTTGAGTGGGCACCTAAGCATTCTTTTGACTATCAAAATACTTTAAATTCTTCTACATGTCATGTTTCAAATGCTGGTAATTTTTCACAAGGCTGTGGCTCAGCAGCACTTACACATAAAAATCTATTTTGTCAAAACTTAATTAATTATGTGTGGCTTCAGGATGCAGCTCCCTGGCGTTGCAGTGACTTTCGGCACACGCTAGGAGTTATTTGTCACTTGGTGGCCTCCTAACTTCCCAGCAAGGCTCTGCATGGTTTTCAGCGATGGCTTTTTTTTTTTAGTGGATGTTTCCTTTCTAGATTAACATAATTCTAGGGAAAACTCAAGGTAGCTGAGGCACAGGCCACTATGAAGACCCAGCCGCATGAGCCTGCCTAGAGCCCTTCAGCATGGACCTGAGTTTGGACCCTGCCCTGAAGTCCATCCCAGTGCTGGCGGTGGTGGTACCCTGATGGAGAGCCAGTTGGATTTGTGCGCCTCTCTGGCACTCTCACTCACCCCTGACGGCAATAGCTCTGTGCTTTTGTAATGCATCGCCGGGGTGTGGAGGGGAAATCAGAGAAATCTCACTACAGTGAACACATTGAAAGAATAGCAGGAAGATATTTTTTTGCTTCTTTTCTCTGTTTCTTTTTTTTTTTTTTATTGGGGTGGGGGTGTAATTCAGAGGGGTGTAAGAAGTTGTTGGTAACTCACAGGACCTCATCTCTTTTTGCTTGAGCTGCACATGAAATCCTTCCTCTTCTAATCCAAATTGCAGGATATCTTTGCATTCCCCATGTAATTGCCTCGGGAGTGCAGACAGGGCTTTCTGCAGTCTGGGGTGAGCGCTCTGTAGAATGTAGACTCCTTGGCTCTACCTGCAGCCTGATCCATCCTCACCAGATCAGGGCAGCCTACCAGGAGACCTGAGCCAGGCTGTGCAAATCCTGCGTGCCACCGTGCAGGACATAAGAAGGTAAATGTATGGAAAAGATAAACTTCACACATGGCTTCTTTCTACCTGGCAGGATGGGGCGGACTTTTCATAGCAAAGCTTAGAAGTTGTTTTCAAGGTCAGTACGAACATGAAGCATCACATAACTTTATTTTTTTTCTTTTTAATATTTCTAGTCATATAGATTATTGCAAAATTGCTTTGGAAATTACTATTCTTTGCTGCTCCCGCTGTCTTGATGATACTTGCGTGTCTTCTCTTTCTCTTGTATATATTCCATTATATTAATACTGTAGATAAGGGATGACAGTGTGACTGGTGATTAAAGCAGGAATTAAGCTGGACTGTTTTTAATCAGTGCAAATACAATTGTTTTGGACTTCCAGGGTGGGTGGTACTCGAGGTCTGGACTGGGTAACTGAGGCTGTGGTCTTAATTTAAGTGTCAGAGCTCTCAGATTTGAAACCAATTCTCAAGCCAACTCTGGCCAGGAGTTCTCTTTCTCACCGCCAGTCTCTCACCTCTGACAAGAGGTTAATGAATTTTCTTGTTTACTGTGCGGGGCTTTGTGGAGACTTAAAGGCATGCTGCCGGGTGCCGGCTGATTAGCTAACAACAAGTTACTCAGGGTGATTTATCATCAGCTGATGCTTCACTGTCCCTTTTCTCACCAGTGTAGAAGATACCACAAAACTTGCAGAAGGTCTTAATGTTGTCTAAGGTCTTCTTTCATTAACTTCTCTATGAATATAGTTCAGTATATAGTGCTGAGTATTCACAACCATAATTTATAGTTCTGATGGACTTGCTATTAGTGCCTTAGCACCTGATTGCTTAAAGGCTGAACCAGGCACAGTCCTTAGGTGCAGGTGAATCAATGTTATCTCCAGGAGCTCTGCAGAGAGCTCCTGAGAGACAGAGACCCTCTTGCAGGTCATATATGTATATTGAGGTGTTCAGTGAAGTCATGTGTGAATTCAAAGGGACATTGCCAGGCAGAAAAGATAGTCACTTGGAACTAAGGTACATATTCATATCTTCAACCTTGTAGATATTCGGAACCCAGCTGGACTTGGCCCTCAGCAACCTGATCTAAGTTGTCTCTGCTTTGAGATGGGTCTGGGCCAGAACTCCCAAAGGTCCCTTTCAACGTGTCTTACTCTACAATTCTGTGATTTTTTTTTTTTTTTTTTTAAAGAAATAAATCTCTTTTCTAGGCGCTGGGTGTTAAAAATTTTCCCTGGGAGCAAGCTCTTTAAAACTCTTTAAGTTCTGCTCTAGTGTTTGCAGCCAGGGAAATATAATCTGAGCTAATCAGCTTCCCCAGGACACAGCAGAAGAATTTAGTGACACTTGAAAACTGTAATCTAAGAGAAATATCACTTGTAAGTCTTAGTTGAAAGTCCACTTGTTGTGTTTCATCAATAAAAAAATCATAATGCAATTTAATTGGAGCTCTTTTCTTACACAGTCTGCTTATGTAAAGCCCTATTTATCATGGAACATCCCTTCAAGTTCTAATTTTAATAAAACTTGTGCCGCCAGGCAGAAAAAGGATTACGTTAGTATCCTTAAAGTGCATTTCTTTTAGAGCTAGTTGGGCCAAAATGTTCCTTAACTTCAGATACAAGCTACAGGGCCACAGAGTCGTGTTGTGTTAAATTGTCCTGAGGTACTTTGGGGATTTTAAACTCCCCCTCCAAATCCATATTTTGCCTTGGACAGTTGATATTGCTGTTTTAAAATGTCATTATTTATGTCCAAGTCAAATAGGATGATATGATAGTATTTGCCTTTGACAATTTATTTTTAATTCTAATTCACTTTTCCTCGTATTTCTGTTGCTTGAAATTGAATCTGTCACTGTACTGCTGGCTGGCGGAGCAAACTGGGAAATGAACTCTAAAGAGAAAACAGGTCTGCCAAGAATTTGCAAAGTGTGTGATGAATTTGGGGCATTTGGGATCCCCAGACAGAGGCACATACCATTCTTAGTTGCTTCAAAGTGTTTTGCCTTTGTTTCTGCTGGTGCTATGTTGTTCAATATATGATGATGTGAGTATTCTATTTTTGAAGTGTTCAACTTCAGTGACCAGCTTCATATTAATGGGCTGAAATTCCAAAAAGTTACTAAATACAAGAAAAGGGTGTCTGCCTCGGCAGGTTTGATCTGTAGTTGCTGGAGGCAGGGAGGAAAGCCTGGGGACCATTCCTCTATGCTTTGCTTAATCTTGTGCTCTCCCTTGGGTATCCGCTGCTCGTGATGCTGGAGGCAGGACCCTGAGCCAAGTCTATTCCATGCAGAATAGAATGACAGAAAAGAGGATTTTCTTATTTGGGAAAGGAGGTCATCACTATCCCTACCTGCCAGGGGGGAGCTGGGAAAGGGGGCGACCAAGCCGACCATGCAGGCGAGCCATGGGGAGACAACCTCTGGCAGCATCCCTGGCTGTGTGACCCTCTGCTTGCTTGTGTTTAATCATCTTGTGTTGACCTGAAGTGCTTGATGTATACCTTCACGCGAGCTGTGGGTGCATTGCACATGGAGATGGCTATGACCCAGCAAGGTCTTGATCCTCCTACATGTAACAGAAACAGGATGTCTCCGGTTAAAGGTTTCTTGCATGAGCTGGATTTCCTTATCCCTGCCAGAACCTACTTGTGTTTTTTTGCAAGGCGTGCAGCTGAAAGCAGATAAATAAACCTGTTCTGTGAATACGCAGAAATGCAGTTGTTTACACCCCCCTTTTTATATTTCATCTGAGCTGTAGGACTGCTTGGTTATTTTCTCTCGTAAGTGTTTCTATCTTACTGGGGAATCCATATGTAATTACCTGTAGCAAGCATAATAAGGAAGAGGATAACAATGCTGTAAGTTTAAAAACACTCTTGGGGTCAAAA